AATCCCTAGCAAGATGGACTGACGCAGTGACTGTAACAATGAGTTAAAACATTTCTAAGAACATTAGGAGGGCAAACGATAGGATAAGTTTCCAATCTGTTGTTCATTGAGTTGCTATGGGTCATAGTTGACTCAGGGGCACCTAACAACAACAACAACAACTTAGACCACAAGTTATGACTTTTAACTCTGCTTCATTGAGTACATTGTCACCATTGAATTCTTTTGCAAAACTTTTGCATAGGTTACTCAATTATCACTATAAACCAAAATAGCTTGAAATTGAAAAGGGCAACTTAAATGGTTCTTTGTACCAAAAATTATTTATCTGTAGCAAATAATCACTCCTTGAATAAATGTGAATGAGCTATGCAAAACATTATATAACCCTGATGAAGCAACTAGTGTTGATGTCTGTCTCTAAGAGTAATAAAGAAAAATACTATCCCAGTAAGTACGTTTAGGGTCTTTGGTTCCAGACTAATGGGTCAACTAATAACTACCGTTTCTATGTAAGAAATTATAATTCATATAAGTACTTACTTTACAAGCTCACAACAAAATATAACTAAAATTTCTCATTTTCAGCGAATAAAGCAACTTTTAACATGCTGAGATTCTAAGGATGGCATTTGCCATCAATTAAGTAATCTCTAGGGAGCTCTAGTGGTGTGGTCCATAGAGTTGTGTTCCTAACACAAGGGCTACATTTCTCTGTTGGTTTGAATTCATCAGGTACTCCACGGGAGAAAAATGGCAATCTCCTCTGATGTAATTCACATCTTTGAAACCCAATAGTGAGTCAGATGTAAGTCAGAACTGACTTAATGTCAATGAAAGAGAGAAGTGACTTTTGAAATAAAGTTTTCTAAATTATTTTTGGATGATAGATATTTGCCAGGGTATCTGTCATAAATATTGATAAAAATAAAGGCTATTAGATGTTAAAACTAAGTTTTTAAGTATCACAAATAGATTAATTTTTTACCTGATAATTTTTTAATTTTTTATTTTTGTTGTATTATTTTTACATGTACCATCAAATCAGATCTGACTGGTACAGGAGGAGATTGCCCCCTCCTTCTCCAGCAGAGCATCTGGTGGATTTGAACTGCGTACCTTTGGGATTGCAGTGCAGTGTCTTGCCACTAGGCCACCAGAGCTCCCTTATTACCTGATAATTTAAGAACATACCAGTCTTTATAAATTCATAATTTCTTTATTTGTTGGGTTAGATTGGGAGAAAGACAAACTAAGGGCTTCTCCTTAAAATTCAAAGAAAATTAAAGTTTTAAAAATATGTTCAACTCTCTTTTAAGTGCATATCTACCTGCATATATCTGAACTTCTGGAAGTATCTCTGGAGGGCTAAACTTCAGTTTCCTCTGAAATTCTTTTCCAAATTTAAAAGGTATAATTCTTAATTCTTCTTCGAACAATTACCCCAATTTTTCTAATCTATATATGTTAGTAGTAAGTTTTAAAATGTCAAATTAGTCAATCTTTTTGTTGGTTCCCAGGTAAACATTTTTTGGTAGGATAACTAGATGAAAACTATGAAATATAAAACAATCTGGGGTTACTTGAGCATTTCTCTGCCTCTGAATAACTAAAGTTATTTCTTAAAAAAAAGAAATCAAATATGCCATTTTAAATTTCTGAGAAAAAAATACGGATTAGTTTTTAAACTTATTACCAAAATTTCTCCAGAACTACCAGGATGTTGTGAAATACTGTCCTTTGGCTTTGTAGTTGGTGCACCTGGGAGAGATTTCTGCCACTTGCTCGTGCCATGTCATTACTTTTGTTTTGATTCTAAGGCCTGATCACTTCATGTCCTTCAGGAGCTGTATATATGTTTTTTTTCCATTCATATTTATTATGCTGTGTTACCATCTGACATTTTAATGTTGCAAATGTTTGCTATAACTTTTGACATAACTTTATAGAGCCCTTTTTATAGAGCAATAAAGATCAAGCTTTTAATTAAGTATATGTGTTTCTCCTATGGTCAAACAACTTTCTTCTTTATGATACCTTGATATTTCAGCCTTTCCCATAATTTTCCATTATTATATAATTTAAATGCTTTTCCTAACACTTTGCAAAGCTTTAATGTCTATTCTATGTTTTAAATTGTGCCAAAAGTACTCACCAGGAGTTATATAAATAGGCAAAAAATTCACCATTGCTTATATGTATTACCTCAATGAATACGAAGATGAAATGTTTCAAGGTATTGTAAATCCAAAATATTATCTCAGTTTCTATTAAAACTATAGATATTTTAATAAACATTGTCTATTTACTAGGAAGTCTTTATACAATTTCATAATTTTAAGAATTTTTAAAAATAAATAGAACAAATGAATTAAAATGTGATGTTCTCTTGGTTTCTGAAAAAACATTCATTGGTAGTCTTAGTAGCTGCTGATATAAAAGAATTCTAAATTTCAAAAGAAAACCAAAGAAATGAAGTCTGCAAACCACAAACTCTGATCACAAGCTGTACACAGTATCTCTTTATTTAAAATGTTAACAATTATATACATAAACATGTATATGTATAGACACACATACATATATATTCTGTGCTAAATGTAGTGTTATACAAAGAGTAAATGTATACTGACAGACAGAGCTGTTATTAATTCTATTTCATGCAGAAACTAAGCAAAGCAAAAAGTTACATAATTCGCATAATGAGTCAGTTCTCATCAGGTATTGGAGTACTTCATACTACCCACAAACCTTCAATTATAAAACCTCAGGTAAACCTGAATCACCAATTTACATTCTTCATAATCTCTCACATGATTTTCAAATATATTAGGTGTCCCCAAGTAATTTGAACCAGCCCCTTGTCTTTGCTAGGTACAAACCGGAATCTGACAGTTACGCATCACCATTGTATTACTTAAGATCACTTAACTCTATGGCTTTGGTGTAAAATGATATTAGAAGACAATGGGCACCAATGACAAAGAGCAGTTTCAGTAATCTTTTACTACATTGTTTCATCCATGAGCGTTAAACATTCACTAGTTAAACATATCCAAAAATTATCTTCTTTGACAAAATGTTTTCGACTAGTCAAACTTTGATAAGAGCACATCAACATAAAGGCCAGAGTCATTATGTGTTGGAACCCCATACCAACTTGAAGGTTTGCCGTGATATATGGTCATAGATTTACTTCCCAATTCACTGAAGTTCTCTTGAACACATTGCCTTTGTTGGAATAACTCAAAATGCATATATATAGTATTGGTGGTAGGTTAATAATAGGATGCAATTACATACTGTGATTTGAAGTGGGAAATTGCAAAGATGATTAGTAATCAAAAGAAGGAAACTGTGTCCAAGTGGAAAGTTTTAAATTAATCTGGAAGGAAATTGTTTTGGTACATCTGTCTTACACTTGTCTTTATCAAAGAGGCCTTGTCTATATTCTGAAAACTTGTATTGTGAAGAATGAGATCAGTAGGTTCTGCAATGAACTGTTAAGCATGATCTTTTTGTAAATTCTTTGAGAGATTTCAACTGTGAATGCACCACTGACTCTTGAATAAACTAATAGTACCTGATACTGTGGAAATATATTATATGACCAGGAAGAACGAAAAGAAACCACCATTAGAATGTGTGGGATTGTTACACATAAATAAGCAATAATCTAAGAAAGGCTAGCCTGGGGTTTTACACAAAATGAAAAAGAAATAAACAAATGGCTGAATAGTACAATGACTGCATTACATTCAGACAATAAAGAATTGTCTTTTTATTTGCAGGGTAAAAAAAAATCTTTAAATATGGTAACAAAAATGCAAGGGTAATATATATATGGAAGTATGAAATGAAAAACTGTGGGACAAACTATCTAAGACGAACATAAATATACTCGTCGTTTTCATAAATATACATTATTTGACATACTGTTTAAGTGAAGCTCTGCAAACTCATTTTTAAACATTGGGCCGAAGTCCAGTAAATTATATATTGCCAACAACTATCAGAGCTTTGTCACTAAAAATACATCCTTATACTTTGCAAGTATTCTAAGATAATTATTGCCACTTTCATGGTAACTAGTACAGTTATGACTGGAGTTGTCTCAGGTTTCCAAGGGAAGAAAATTATTCTGAGAAACTGTTAATAAGGGAAAGTATGGTAATAGAGAGGGGTATTTTCTTAAAAGTGTGATAAGAGTGTCATTTAATGACTTTAAATGTTGTAGACAGGATTTTCTTTTCAGTCACAGAGATGAAACTATTGAATATAACTCTTTAGTCTATTGCCCATCCATTCTCCAGCCCCTCCTTTGTATCAGTCTCACAATGGCCTTAATTCAATTTGAGATATAAAGCTAACATTTAGCTCGCAGAACCCTCCTTGGTAGCAATTGCCCAGCCCACCCTATGAGAAAAATCAGTGAATGGTAACGCCTAGGTAGAAGACCTACAGAATTTTCATTTTGTAAATGCCAAGGAAAACCACTTAAAATCGATCTTTTTTTACAATAACTAGAAAGACAAAGCTCTCTGGAAAATTTATTGCCAGAATATATAAACCGTGTTTAAAAGAAAGAGAACTTTAATAGCAGACTTTCCATCTCCTTTGATATATAGGACTGAAGGGGGCAGGGGAAAAAAGATAGAGACCATTTCTAGCAGTCATCTCATTCATCTGATGACTGTATTGCCGAACATTGCCACTTTTAAAGCAAAGTCATGGCAGATTCCCCAGTAGACCCAGCTATTTTGGTGTTTATTACAAAATGCTGTTAGTGAGGTTTTGAAAGAATTCAGTGCTGTTTGATTTAAGGCTACCAGACTTAATTTGGCCTAGGATTAGTTCTGCATTCTTCTACAGCAAAACAGAGAGTAAGCATCCACATCTCTGGAGGGAATGATTCAAGCCCAGCATCTGAAGATGCATCTCAAGGAACGAGCACTAGCTGTTGCTTCAGCAAGCCTGAGAATGTTTCAGTTCCAGTTAGTTTATAAATGCATCATGGACTCGAACTCGTCAATTCTTTGCTTGGTGTTCCCCTTCCTGATTTTCCGGTAGGATATTGTATTGTATCTTGAGTAAGCATTTCTGGAGATGTCATTCTTCTTCCCCAAGGCTGGATGCTCATCTGGTGTCACGGGTTGGGAACTGGGGCTGCTCAAGGGGGAGTCCTCGCTTGCTTCGCCTTCATCTTTCAATTCCAACACTTCTTGACTCTTTTTCTTAAACTCTATAACTCGCACTTCATCCTCATCATCATGACAATCATCATTGCCATCATTATTAATTTCTTCATCCCAACCTTCTTGCTCCTCATTGTGGGTTGGATGTGACACATCCACTGGGCTAGATTTCTGAAATCCCAACCATTCAATTTCAGTTGCCTGGTGGGCTTGGCTCTCCCTAGCTCCCTCTTCTCCTTCTTCTAGAGGGTTTTCACAAATCCTTTCTTTCTGTCCAATTACTTCTTGGTTATTGTTATTCAGAGGGCTCTTCTGCAATTGATACCCTAAAACAAAAGCAATTAATTAGGAGTGAGATGTGTACAGGTTTCTCAATGCCCACCTCTTATCACCCAAGTATTTGTCTGGGTTGTTTTTTTTTTCTCCAAACAAATATTACCCACCATGTATTTTATGGGATATTATTACCTTGGGGATTACTGGTATTTTTTATACAATAAAGTGGCTTAATAGTTAAATAGTTTAGGAAATACTGCACCAAAACCAGTTAAATAAGCTTATTGAGTATTTATCTAGGACTTTTAAATGATAATGAATTCTGGAACTCTCCAAGAGCATAGACAACTCAACTTCATTTGATTGTAGAACTCTTTAGTTTGGGGACAAGTATGTATATTTAGTGGTAGTAATGATTGCTTAAGGAGCTCTGGTGGCTAATGGATAAGGAATTGTGCTGCCAACCTAAATGTACCTCGCTTGAATTCACCAGTGTCCCCAAGGGAGAAAGATGGGCAACTTCTGAAAACCCTGCTGAAGGGTCAGTTGTGATTCAGTACCAACTTGACAGCATACAATAACAGCAGTATTTAGTGAGCCAACTTTAAAATATGTCTACCTTATCACAATTCAATATGTATAGTAAAATATTTGCATCTATGCTCTGGTGACCTAGTGGCAAGAAGAAAGCATGCAGTTTGAGGTCACCAGCTGCTCTTTGGGAGAAGGATGGGCAGTCTCCTCCCGTTGTGATTAACTGCTTCTGAAAACTTTCTGGAGGGTTAGCTATGACTCAACAGTACGCAGCAACAATAATGTCTTACAAAGGGAACTCGGGGCTAGTGGTAAAAAGCTGCATTGCAATCCCAAGGCATGTGATTTGAATCCACCCCTTGGTCTGTTGGAGAAATATAGACACTCTCCTGCCTTGAGATGTACTACTTCTGAAAATTGGCTGGTGGATCAGCTATGAATCAGTTCTGACTGGATAGTACACAACAACAAAACCAACATGCCTTAGATATCCATATATGCCCACATACACATTCACATCACACATGCAGATATCTGTTTCCTAGTAACAGATAACCTGGAAACCATTTGCATACATACACACGCACATACAGATACCTGTTTCCACACACTTCTCAAGTAAAATCAGAAAAGTGCTTCAGGGAATGAACAAAGGCTTTGTTCCAATAGTAACATCTATGACTGACTGCTCAAGCCTAGTCACATTCAGGGTATCACACCAAGCTTCTTAGAGACAGCCTCAAGAACCAGAAGTAGAGGAGGAGCAGAGGATGACAAATATCCAGGAACCATGACTTGGGCTCACCTGTGCATACACAGTATGGTCTAAGCTTCTCCACTTGTTTCCAGAGTGAAGACTGAAAATCTGCATCTTAATATTGTAAATAAGTATATATTTAAATAGTTACTGTAATCTTAAGATTTATTTCCTTTTTTCCCTTAAGAAGCAAAAGAATCTGATCTTCTAGTTCCCATTCATTGCTTAAACTTAAGGTTCTCATGCATGAAATGATTGAGTTTAAATTTTTCCTCAATATTTTTGCATATTGATAGATTGATTAGCCTGTTATTTTAGACATATTCCCCATGCAACTACTTGATTCAAGTTGTTTGGCATGATGTAATGATTCTAAAAGGCTTAAATTACAGCAATTTTAATTTCTTAGACAATTGGATCCAGTATCATCTCAACAACATGGATTAAGCAAGTTAAATACAATCAATTGTATGGGAGTAGAAGTTATTTTCTGAGTTTTCAAGCCTAAAAAAGAATCTTTGTGATAAACTTCATTCCATAGAAAATATGACTCAAAATATTTTCTGTGATATATTCCCCATTCTCATTAGCACAATCAACTGTTCTGGGATTCCCACTCTTCTCAGAGTCAGCCACAGTTTGTTATGATCCACACAGTCCAACGCCTTTTCATAATCAATGAAACACAGATGGACATTCCTCCAGTATTCCCTGCTTTCAGCTAAGATCCATCTAACATCAGCTACAATATCCCTAGTACCACGACCCCTTCTAAACCCAGCCTGAACTTCTGGCAGTTCTCTGCTGATGTGCTGTTCCAGTCATTTTTGGATAACCTTCAGTACGATCTTGCTTGCATGTGAAATCAATGATATTATTCTATAGTTTCCACACTCTGTAGGGTCACCCTTCTTTGGGATGGGAACAATTATGGACCTCTTCCAGTCAGTTGGACAAGTGGTTGTTCTTCAGATTTCTTGCCACAACTTGGTGAGCATGTCCAGGGCAGCATCTGTTAACTGAAATATGTCAATTGGTATACCATCTATTCCCGGGGCTTTATTTTTTGGCATTTCCTTTAAAGCAGCCTGAACTTCCTTCTTCATCACCATAAGCTCTTGCTCATGTTTTAAGAAATTCTTCTGTGTCTGCCAATTCCTTTTGATACAGTGACTCAGTATATTCTTTCTATCTTCTTTTAATAATTCCTGGGTCATTTAATATTCTTGCTTAAAGCATCCTTGATTATAGCAACTCAAGGTTTGAATTTGTTCTTCAGTTCCTTGAGCTTAAGAAATGCTGAGCGAGTTCGGCCCTTTTGATTTTCTGACTCAAACTCCTTGGACATTTCATTGTAATACTTTACTTTGTCATCCCATGCTGCCTTTTGAAATCTCCTATTTAACTCTTTAGTATCTTGAATTCTTCCTTCTGCTTCCTTCTGAGAAGAATGGGAATCCCAGAACACTTGATTGTGCTAATGAGAAACCTATACTTAGACCAAGAGGCAGTTGTCAGAACAGAGCAAGGAAACGCTGCATGGTTCAAAATTGAGAAGGGCATACACAAGGGATGTGTCCTGTTTCCATACCTTTTCAACCCATGTGCAGAACAGATTATCTGGGAGGCTGGGCTCTATGAGGAGAAATGTGGGGTCAAGATTGGTGGAAGATCTAGCAACAATCTGCGTTATGCAGATGATACAACGCTGCTTGCTGAAACTGGAGAGGACCTGAAGCACTTGCTGCAGAGGGTCAGGGACTGCAACCTTCAATATGAATTGAGACTCAATGTCAAGAAGACAAAGATTCTCACCACTAGACCAATTGGCAGCATCAAGATGGATGGTGAAGAAATTGAGATTGTTCGTTTACAGCTTCAGTTTGCTCGGCTCCACGGTCAACACTCTTGGCACCAGTAGCCAGGAAATAAAAAAACATATTGTGATGGGAAAGTCTGCTGTTAGGGACCTCTCCAAAGTACTGAAGAGCAATGGTGTTTCTCTAGAGACTAAGGTGCGTCTGATACAGGCCATGGTCTTTGCAATCACTTGTTATGCATCAGAGAGCTGTACAATGATTAGGGAGGATAGAAAGAGAATTGATGCCTTTGAGCTGTGGTGTTGGAGAAGAGTATTGAGGGAACCATGGACTGCTAGGAAAACAAACAGATTCATCCTGGAAAGGGTTAAACTGGGTGGCTCCTTGGAGGCAAGGATTCTGAGGCTCTGTCTAACATACTTTGGACATGTTGTAAGGAGGAACCAGTCCTTGGAGAGGGACATCATGCTTGGGAGGGTGGAGGCACAGTGCAGGAGGAGAAGGCCCTCTATGAGGTGGATTGATTCAGTGACTGGGATAATCGCGATGGGAGTGTCAGAGACAGTGTGATTGGCACAGGACAGAGCAGAGTTTAGGGCTGTTGTACATAGGGTCGCTATGAGTCGCAAGCGACTCAACGGCACATAGCAACAACAACAACAATATTCTCCATTAGGCCAGGGTTTGATGTTCCCTTTTGACATCATAAGATGTTCCTATTTGTCTTCACCTCATAAATTTCTACTCTCAGTGAAAGACGATCATTATTTTTATTCTAGGGGTTTTGGTTTCTTTTCACTTTCCATTTACCCAACTCTGAGAATTAGACTGTAAATTTCAGAGAAAAACTTTATATATCTATAAGCTCTTGACTACTTGTACCAAATATAATGATGTATATAATAAGTATAAATGTTACCAAGAAATCAGTGCCCAATATTCATTACCTTATGCATACGTGTTTATTGGAATATTTGTTGTAATCTTAAAATTGTTTTGCTTTTCCCCTTAAAAATCAGATATTTTTGTTCATATTTATGTCTCAAGCATGCGGTTGTCATGCATGAAATAGTTCTTTCCACTTAAAATATATTTTTTCATCAATATTTTTAGCATGTTGTTATTTTTTGATCTTCCACTATTCTCTTTAAAGATTTTATAAGCTGTTTGCCATGTGAAAATAAGGCAACAAAATCTTTGCTTCTATAGTCCATCAAAAATATACACTTAATCTAACAAAAAATTAATTCAGGGGAAAATTGCCTGGTGAAACTCAAAGTGAAAACAAAGAAAGTTTTCATTCTCTATTTAGTCAAAGTATAATACTGTATTCTAGAAAACTATTGTAGATGGTGGATCAAATGTTGCATACATTTCCCAATCAGAACTTGGTAACAGGCATTACATAAGATACTGAAATCTCTAACTGTGAGAGCTTGATGCACTGAAAACACAAAATTGGAGCAAAATAGTTATTTTGGTTATTTCCAAACTCCAGCCAGGCTATGCAATTTAAAAGAGGATAAACCTTATGACAGGGCAAAATTTCTGTGTTGTAATGGTGAAATGGTCCATTCTAACCAAAAGGTTTATAGTTTGAACCTACCGGCAGCTCTACAAGTAAAAAGACCTAGTTATCTGCTCCCATAAATAAACAAACACACACACAAACACACACACAAAAAAACCAAAACCCAAATCCCAACCCAACAAAATCCACAAACAAAAATAACCCAAAACATCCTAGGAAACCTTTTGAGTTAGTTCTACCTTGCCTTGCAGGTTTTCATATGAGTTAAAATCAACTCAATGGAACCATAAGTCTTATAAATTGTCTCTGAAAATGTAAACATTTAGCAATGCTTTGCTCACTATATTCTTCCTCGAGGGTCTTTCTACTAGATCAGTGAAAATGATCAAAGATCATTGTCTGAGAAGTATTCCTGCAAAGGTTACAAATACACTTCCAATTGTACCTATGTCCTCCTTGGCACACCTTTCTATTAAAATAATCTCTCCAATATTTTGTCTGTAAAGATGGAGATATTAACTAAATTAAATTGGACATATTCTAACAACCTGAAGACAATTCTGAGATCAGATACTCATGACTACCAGATAAGAAATGAATGATTAATCAATAGATTTTTATCCTGCACTTTATTGAGAAACTGAAGAGGACATCTTAAAAGAGATATCTAAAGAATTTATGACTCTAAGTATATTTAATTTCTTTAAAAACTGACATATTCACTTAAAAATCATTGTTCTTTTTTATTCTCCCTTTTTCTGAAAGGAAACAACAAAAATTAATTTTATCATCCTAGGAGCTTTCCTTGATAAGCATTAGGGAACCTTTTGGGGCTTCCATCAGAGATATAGCATTTCTTATGAATTAATCAATCTTTAAGATTACTTTAAACTGTATGATAATGGTCGATTTTTTGATAAATCCATTTTTAAAACATTTATGTTTCATAAAGTGTCTGACATAGATTTGGAGAAATTGTATCACAAGGAAGTATTGATTTATTGAATAATTTAATGAGAGACAGAGCCTTGGGTCAAAGCATGCCAATCAGCTCTAGCAATGGATGTTGTCTCAGTCTTGAACCATCTGGAATGCTTTCTAAGCTGGAGCTCACAGATAAGTAATGACTCTTTTATCTGCCTAGGGCAGCTTGGAAGTTTTTGAAGACATTGCCTGGATTGCTTTTGAAACTCCACAATCATATAACAGCCAGTGCAAAACTGTCATTCATAGTCACTCAAACACTTTCTATGTACAAACTTAGTTCCTTTTACCTTCTCTGAATGCCATTTCATCAGCAATTGTTTCTTGAAGAGAAAGATCTGTGATCGCCTTATGAACTATAAAGAGGTTTTCTTCTGGCTTTTCTGGGGGGAAAAGACCCACGACATTAATATTTAAGTACTTAAATAGTTGGAGGGCAAAAAATTATTAATTCAAATTCTAGATATGAGTAGACTTTTTCATTTTTATTATGATGACTGAAAATTGCTTTGACTCATTTCTACATTATCTCTATTTATTTAAAGGTATAATAATAATCTCTCCTTTAACATCTATAAAAAATATAGAGTCAAAACTCAGACATCTTCAGGTATATTTCAAGGAAGAATTTGGAAGCCTGAATTCTTGTTCAAATAATAGTAATGAGATAGTTCATAATAATCATAATTATAAAGTTCTACCATTATTAACAACAGTTAAAATGTAACTAAGATTCATCATATGCAGTCAACTTAATTATCTTAAGTAATGTTTTCAACAACTTTACAAATGACAGGATTACTACACAGTCTTCTCCAAAAGAAGAAACTGAGGCTATTTGATGTTAAGAAAGTTGTCTCATATCACAGAGCTATCAAATCAATGATTGTAGGTTGAACAGAGCAAGGCATTATTCCTGTGCTTTGCAGTCTCAGTAAGATATACAGCTTCTTTTTATTTTATTTATTTACTTTTTAACTTTTTTTTTAAGTATCCAGGTAATTTCTATTCTGACAGTCTCTGAAAAGAATCCCAAGTGAGTTAACAAATCACAACAAGTAAATGGAGGGGCACAGAGAAGCTTTACCTTTTTGTAACTCTTCTTCCATGGGCCAGTTGTGTAGATTGTTCCCTTGTGACTTTTCGTTTTCCTCTTCCTTTTCCTCGATAAATACTTCTTCAAGACTGGGGTCTGCTCTGTGGTATGGTGGGCTGTCATCAGCGTTCATGGCTTCCTCAGTGATTTGGGGAATGGGTTCTTGGCCATTTTCAGGTGGTGTATCCCCATTACACTCAGCCCCACTGAATGCTGCCGCCACATCTGTCATGATGGAGAGTGGTGTTTGATAATGGAAAGAGCTTTGGAGAAATGGAATGTAAAGATGCTTGATAAAATATATTGTCTTTAGGTCCTGTAATTACAACTCCTACTACAAAAATTAGGAGAAAAAAATTTCACTTGAATACAAAGTAACAAACTTCTTTTCTTAAAGATGTCCAGGAAGAGTTTAAAGCAAAAGCATTAGGATCAGATTTGCCACCAGCCCTCAAGCATGGATCCAGCCAATCATCATCTCTTTTGTTGCTCAGCAATCCCACTTGCTGAATTCATGGCACCCTCTTGATTTGCATAAACAAACAATCTGAGGCAATCAGCCTTTTGTGTTGGCATGTAGAGGGGGACTTTCAGCTTGTCAGTCCCCCCTCTGGGAACAGAGATTTTTGTCCTTTTTCATAATGGCCCTTTGTTATTTTCCTTGTAACAGGAGCCACAATTGTTCCACAGCTTTAATCCAGAGAGAATGACCACCTTGAGGCATATTAGTTCTGCCTAACCAGCTTAACATTTCCAAACAGATTTTTGTTTAAGTAAAACCTTAGCCATTTTGTAGAAGACAATGACCTTGTTTCTTATTTATTAAAGAAAAAAACCTCCAGCTTATCAGAATTTGTAAACAGGACAACTTTATTTTAAGTGGTTTTCGCAGCAGATTTCATGGGATGTTTGTAAGACCCTAGAGACAGAACCTCTGAGAGGTTAGGGGTGGGGAAACCACACAAAAAAAGCAACGTTCTACCAAATAACCAAATTTTAAAAAGAAAATTTAGAGTAATTTATATGGTGTGTAGATTAACTTCAAGTCTGCTTATTTCTAAAAAACTCCAGTGTATCCTTTTAAATCCAATGATTTCCTCCTAAGGAGCTCTGATAGATTGGTGCATTGTCTGTTAGTGCTACTAACCAACAAGTCTGTAGTTCAAATGAACCAGCTGCTACTTGGGAGAAAAATGGAAAAATGAACAGTGTTCTTTCTTGGAATAAACTCCATTCCTATCAAGTTCATTCCAACTCAGAGAACCCAAAAGGGCAGAATAGAACTTCCCAGACATCTTTCCAAGTCTTCAAATCTTTATGGAAGCAGATTGCCACATTGTTATCTGTGGAGCTGCAGGTGAATTCATGCTACAAGTTATTGGTTTGTAGCACAGCACTTTAATCACTGTAGAATCATGTCTTCTTTATCTCTCTTGAGAAAGCCTTAGCAGTCAGTCTTACCCACTTGGAACTCTAGCCCAAGAAAACATCAGGACAGAATAGGGTACAATTTGGCTCCATGTAAGATTCCAACTCTTTTTTTTTTTTTTAGTTAATTTTGCTAAAAATTTACAGAGTAGTGCTGCCCTGCTCTGTTTGTACAACAGCCTCCTGGTGGTCCCGGTATAGATTCCGACCTGGTTCTGATTATTGATATTGAGTGTTCCTAGTGATTTCTTCTACAGATAACCTATAGGTCAGCATTAAAAAAAAAATGAAGGTCAGATATATGTTATGTAATATAAATGGATATCATGGATATCAACATGGCAACTCATATTGTGACAAACTTCCCATGGACTTCTTTCCATAGCAGATCCTACCGAATCATTAAAAATTTTTGTAATTAAAATTACAGAGTTGTTATTGTGGCTGTTAAGTGCTCTCAATTTCAGTATGACTTATAGAGACCCTATGAACTGTCAATTTTCCCTATCCTAAACTAACCTCATCATCTCACCTACCGTCACGTCCAGAGTATCAAAGATGAAGCTTTGTCATCATTGCCTCTGAGGATCACTCGGGATGCACCCTTTCTAGGATAGATCTGTTTGTCCTTTTTGGTAGTCCATGGGATATTTAGCACTCTTCTCCAGCACCACAACTCAAAGGCATAAGTTATTCTTCTGTCTTCCTTATTCATTGTCCAGTTCTCTGATGCATAGCAGGTGGTTAAGAAGACCATGGCCTGAATCAAGTGCCTTTTAGACTTCAAGTTGAAATCATTACTCTTTAGTATTTTGAAGAGGTTCCTGACAGCAGATTTGCCCAATACAATATGTCTCCTTGTCTCCTGACTCGTGGTATCAAGGGTGTTGATTGTTGATCTAAACAAGACAAAATATCATTGACAGCTTCAATCTTCTCTCCATCATCATAATGTTGACTGTTGGGACTGTCATGAGAATCTTTGTCTTCTTGATTTTGAGATGTAATCCGTACTGAAGGCCGAAGTCCTTGATGTTCTGAAGTTTCATAACCTCTTCACTTTCAGCAAGTATTTCATATCCTCTTCATTTACAGCAAAGTTGTGTCATCAGCATAACACAGGTTGTTGATGAGTCTTCCTCCAATTCTGATGCCACGCTCCTCTTCATAGAGTCCTGTTTCTAGAAAGATTTGCTCAGCATATAGATTGAACAGATATGGAGAATGGATGCAACCCTGATTCACACTCTTCCTCATTTTAAATCATGCAGTGTTCCCTTGCTTTCTTTTCACAAAAGGATTTTGGTTTAGGTATAGATTTCACATGAGCCCAATTAAGTATTCTGGGATTCTTATTCTTCTTAATGTGAGCAATAATGAGTTATGATTCATGAAGTCAAATCTTTGCATAGGCAGTAAAGAACAAATATACATCTGCTTTTAGCCAGGATCCATCTGATATCAACAAGAGTAATATGTGATAAATGTAGTTGTCAATTTTTGAAATGTAATACTCAGAGGGGTGGAGGTACAGCACAAGAGATGAATACCCCCATGAAATGAATTTATATAGTTACTAGGGCAATGAGAGTAGGTGTGTTGGAGTCGGTGAGATTGGCTCTGGCCAGGGCAGGCTTCAGAGCTGTTGTATATAGGGTCGCTATGGGTTACAGGTGACTTGATGGCACATAACAACAACAACAAAAACAACATACTAATATTAACAACAAAACAACTTTGATCTTTATACATCAAATAGTAACAGTATTAGTTACAACATTGTTCATGACTAAGCAAATGCCATCTTTTCTTTTTCTCTCTTTTCTTTTAATTACTACTTCATTCTCAAAAATTTACTGATATAAGTAAAAAAATATTTTCCACAATGAATTGGATAAAATACAAGAAAATTTGGCTAAAATCAGTGACTATACAAAAAAACAACAGCATATACTTGTAGGCCTTGCATAAGAAACTACATTATTTGAAGTGTCATTGCACTTGTGAATAACAGCATCTCTGTCTAAAACTAATTATGACTTCAAAAGATCCCAAAAGTACTCAATCCTATAATAACAGCAGTAATGAAAATCAATTATTTATAAGTAGACACATAGACAGACAAGTAAGTTTAACAGGTATGAAAGATGAATTGAATTACATCTACAAATACAAGGTTTGGCAGAGGATATATTTACATCTTTATTTTTTTTTGTGCTACAAATAGATAGTTCAGGAAGGATTTAGAAGAGGCTATGGCACAAGGTACTAGGGATATTGTTGCTGCTGTTAGATGGATCTTGGCTGAAAGCAGAGAATACCAGAAGAATGTCTATCTGTGTTTCATTGATTATGCAAAGGCATTTGACTGTGTG